GGTGCGGGCCGGCCGGGGCGGGCCGTGCGGGCAGGGGCGACGGTCTGCGGCCTGAGGGGAGGAGACGACGCGGCGGCAGCGATGCTGGAGACCCTGCGCGAGCGGCTGCTGAGCGTGCAGCAGGATTTCACCTCCGGGTGGGTATGCGGTGGGGGCGGAAGGGACCCGGGACACTGGGCCGTGTCGTACAGCCGGGGGTCGCGAGGGACGCCGCCTCGCTCCCCTCACCCCCCTCACCCCAGTGCCGTTCCGCCCCGCACCGCCAACCTCGCCCCGCCGAGGGAAGTCACGAACTTTCCAGAGGCCGTCCGGCGGCGCCAAGTAACTTGGGTCCTGTCAGGCTGGCTCTGCGGGCGTCCCGGGGCGGAAGGGGCGGTCGGGACCGCGGCGGGGCGCGGGACCCCCTTCCTGGTGGCCGCGGCCGGCCGGAGCAGGGGGACCACCGGAGGCATGTGAGGGGTGGGCGCGCCGCCTTGCCGCCGCCCCCCCGCGGGACTGTGGCCTTGGGCCCCCACGGCCGGGAGAGACACCTGCGGCCCGGCCGCTGTCCCCCACCGCGCTGACCAAAGTGCGCGCCGGCCGGCCTTGCGCGCCGTCCTGGGTCCCACTGGGCGCTCGCTCTGCGCCCCGCGCGTGACCCTAGGCGCGCGCTCTGCCTGGACCCGGGGTTGACGCCGCGGTGAAGAAACTCTTGGGCTCGGGAAAAGACAGGACTGCTGTGATACTCGCTGTACCCAGTAGTTAAGAGCTCGAGGCAGGCCTCTCCCAAACTTTGCTTCCTGTCAGTTGCCTGGGCACCTTGAACCTCCTCGATGCCCATGTCGCACTCCCCAGCAGTTCTCAGACTGGGGGTGGGGTTTTGAAGATCTCCAAGGTGATTTCTATGTGCCTCTAATTCTGGAAACCAGACTCTAGGGCCAGACTGGCGAATGTATTTCTGCCAGTTACTCTTGATTATCTTGCCTCAGTTTCCACGACTGTACAGGGGTGATAAAGATGGGGTAGTATTTATTGTAAATGATTAATGAGGTGACAGGGGAAACACAGTAAGCACGATGGCATCGTTATTACCTAGAACTTAGTTCATTTTTATTTTTTTCATAACTGTAGAAAGGGGTTGTCACTGTTACATCAGTTATACTTTAGCGAATATTCTCCGGCCATTTCAGACATATCGATTTAAATTTTCTTTTTTCCTTTTTTTTTTTTTTAATAAGGATTTAATTTCTACATACTGAACTGGGGTACAGGCCCAAGATGCAGAGGAGTGAGGGATTCATTAGAGACAGAGTGGGGAGCAGAACAGGCAGATTGATGAAGTACACTGCTGAGGGAAGGGGGTTGATCAGGAGAGGTCTGCTGTGCCCTGTGGGTCACCTCCCTTGCATGGAATCAAACTCATGCTGCAGTGGCCGTGATAGCTTCATAGTGCTGCGCTTTAACCCGTTGTGCCACCAAGGAGGGCCCACAGTTTTAAATTTCTAGAGGAAGCTGGTATAGTTTTACTAGACAAAATGTGTTGTTTCCTTTTAGGTTGTGAGTAGTAACTAGCAAGTACATTATCACACAACACATGTAAAGCATTTTTGATATTTGGTTTGGCATTCTTGAATATTCTAGATGTTTTAAAAGTCATTCATTGATGGTGTATTTACATGTTTGAACTTTTTCTCTTCTTGGAATTTAAAAAATAACTTCAGAGTGTAAATTCATGTATCAAAAGATTTTGTTAAGGCCCTGGAATGGTCCACTGGTAGCATGAGAATGGTCATAGATAAACCCAATGAATTTTAACCTTTCTTACAAACTTAGAAAAAATACAACTTAAGATCAGATGAGGACAAGTTCTGCGCTTCCCTCTTCTCCCTTCTCAGTGAGTCCCAACTTTAACACACTCAGAGCTCTTGGAGCTTTTTGGAGGGTTCTCACAAGACATCCACTTCTTAGGAACTGGCCTGACCTCCAAGTGAAACTTTGGTCTTCAGTTTCCGCATTTTTCTGTGCTGTTTATAACTAAAGGCCTCAGGATGGAAGTATTTGGTTTGCAAAAACCCTCAAGGAACTGCAGGTCAGATTTACTGAAGGCTCACAGCTGCATGTCACCAGCTGGTGTTTCCTATTAGCTATGCTCTGGGTTCTTGCAGATAGGAGTAGACACCTTGCTACTGATTGCAGCCAAAGCAATGGTGTTTCTGCCTCAAAGCTGCCTCTGCACCTGACATCCACCATAGGCAATGTGCTCATCCTCTCCTGTAGATTAAAAACTTGTTTGAAGGAAAGGACCTATTAATAATGTAATTTACAGAGTGGTAAAACAGTGAGATTTTGCCTGAACTGTTGACTCTTCCAGATCACTCCACTTTTTCATAAACAGGTAAAAGAATTTCATTACCGACTTGATTTAATAAGTATTTATTGAGTTCCTGCTAAGTTCCAATCTGGGCTGGAAACTCTTTGTCATAGACACTTTCATTTTATTAAAAAAGATGACTTAAGAGGAAACATGCTCAATTTTGCCTAGTTTTTACTAGCAGTGCCTATATGTTGGGTGAGATCCTAGGACTACAAAGTTGGCTAAAGTGGGGTCTGCTTCTCTGTGGATGCCCGAGACTGGTGATAATGTGAGTCAGGTGGAAGCAGCTGCATGTTAAGACAGTGATCTGGCACGTGACCCCAGAGGGAGAAGCACTCAGACACACCTGTAGGCCTCCAGGAAGTGGCTTCTAAACTGGGCCTTGAATGAGAATAGGTTATAGTGAAATTAGTAAGAGCATTTCAGAGATGGAAGCAGTTGTGGGAGATGGAGCTAGAAAGGAAGTTTAGTGGCTGATAGTAGAGGATTTGCTATATTTATTTGTCAAGTATTTACTGAGTGCATACTCAGTGACAGGCACTATTCTAGGAGCCAGGGATATAGCAGAGAACACACAAGACAACAAATCATTCCCCTGTGCTTTTTGTAGTGGCAGGAAGCAGAATATCTAGGTCAAAAAATGATGGCTAAAAGGAAAGCAAGTTCAGGGGAATTGGGATGGGGTTATGGCTGATTGATGTGAGATGATCCTGGCTTGTTCTTAAGTTGATTGAATCTTTTGAAGGTTTTATTGAGAAGATTCTGGAAGACTATTTTGAGAGGCAGAGATGGGGAACAAGGAAGATTATTTAGGAGACCATAATCAGAGATAAGGCAGTGCTGGTAGAACCATTTGGGGGAAAGCCCTTATTGACCTTTCCACAATTTCATTTTCAACTCTCTGTAACAGTCTTTTTTTTTTTCCTCCTTTCTCCTAATTAATTTTTGAGGAAGGACTGGATGGAACAGTGCTGGTCAAATTTGTAAACAGTGAGATGTAGGAAGTGAAACAGAGAATTGAGGGGTTAATTTTGTAGTTACCTATCTTAGGTAAATGACATCATTTACTAACATAAAAGAATTTAAGAATAATTTTGAGAGAGAGGGAGCCATTGCCCATGGATTTGTTGTGAGATAACTTAGAGCTTGATATCCAAGAAGCAGTTGGAAATTTAAGAAACACTCAGGAGAGCTGTCAGAGTGAAACCATGTGTTTAGGGTTAATTAGGATAATGTCTAAATACTCTCCCTTTCCTGAGTCTCTGAAGCTTTTTTTTTTTGTGAATTCCTCAGACTCCACAGCTTAAGAGTCTTATGTGTTTTTAAGTATGAGTAATACTTTGGGTTAAAAGAATTGAGCCTTAATGACAAAATATGCTGATTAATATAGTTTGTGGTATTTTAAAGGAAACACTCAGCTTTCATAGCAGATAAGTATAGATGAATAGGAAATCGAGGTACAAATAAATGAACAGAAGCCATTAGGGTCACCCCATGAGGTGGAATCAGCTAGAGAAAGCACTGTTTTGTTTATTATTCTTTGTAATGCTCCATACATTATTTTATTTACTTCTTTTTAAACTTTTTGTGTAAGAAGTTTGGCTGGTCATCTTGCTTTCTTAGTAAGATGCTGCCATTTTAGTATTTTTCTGCAAAGCTTGAAGAAAACCTGCAGATTGTTCTTAGGAACAATCTGACAATAAATTATTAAAATGTTATGATGGATTTGAGGTTTAGTGCTTTGAACTCGAAAGCGTACATAGTTGTGTTTAGTAGAAAATCATTGTCAGGTGTCTCACTTAAGTCTATTGATATGTAGCAGCACTTATGTCTTCCTGGGAATCTGTGGTATTAGGAAGACAGTAGATGTTATAGGCAAGCCTTTTATAGGACCTGCTGTATTGGGGAGCCTCTGTTTCACCTTAGCCCAATGGTGTACTTAGCTTTTGACCCTTCTTGATGAGGACAGTTTTTATAGCTTTCATTTGAATTAGCTTTTTAGTTAACAGATTGCCGTCAAAGTCACATTTAGAATTTCATTTAATTATTGTAGCAAGTCATGGGTGTGTCAAACTACTGTTTTATGTTTAAAGAAAGCAGGTATTATGCTAGACAGCATTTCCTTCTCATTGTGCCATGTATTGTGGGACATTAAGTGGACTTCCCTGGTGGGTTGTTTCCAGCACAGGATCACTGTTGAGAATGTTATCCCAAACTAAAAGTAAGAGCTACTTTCAATTGAATTTTGATTTTTGAGTATTTATTTCAGAAAGGATCTTTCTGGGGTCTTTTTATTACTTTTAAAATACATCTGACCTTTTAATTTTGCAACTGTGAGAATAATTATCATTGTAACCTGTTGTTACCTACTGTTTTCTTGACTGTTTCCTCCTAGCTTCTTTGTTTCCTCCTACAATTTAGTTTCAGTCTAAGTTTTGGCATGTTGACACTTTATATGAGAAGGTATGATAAGAAAAATGAAAGGCTTTTTGTTAAAAAAAAATTTTTTACCCAAATTTCAAACATAACAAAAATAAAATAACACAATGTACTTCCCACATCCATTACTTAGATTTAAGAATTGCCAACTATTGCCACATTTGTTTTGGCTCCTCTAATAAAGGGATTTGTAATCTCAGACCTGTCCATTAACACTAGTTTGCACTCTAAAACATATAGACATTCCATAAGTGCAATGTCAATACTCTACCTAACAAAATCGAAACTAATTCTTTGATATCATCATTTACACTTTCCATAATCATTTCCTGATTTTTAGAAATGTCTTCTTACAGTTCTTTTGTTTAAATTCAGATTAAATAAATTCCACAAACTACATTTGGTTAAAGACCAATTTTTAAAGCAGATGGTTTAGGAGCCCCACCAGGGGAAGCTCTTTTTGACCCTTCTCTTAACATTCTTAATTATTTTCTGTCTCTTATTCCTAACTAATATTTCCTTATCGGAGAGAGAAGAGGTATTGGAATTATCTCAAGTCAACAAAAATAATGCTGCTGTGTATGACTATCCTAGAATAATTCTGAGTTGTCATAATTAATTCTCAGATTTTGGATTTTGAATGGTAAAGCATAACTGTTATAATACTGTTTCCTATCTATTGCTTAATCTTAGTTTAAACCTGATTTACTAGTTTCCAAGATAAGCTTAAATAAGTTAATATTGTTCTTTAGGAAAGATTGGACTTTAACTCCCTAGACTCATTTGGAGAAATATTTATAAATTTGCTGTGTGTTAAGGAGATTACTGAATATTTTCAGCATTGTAAAGAAATTAACCTCACTAATATTTTAGTTTTTGAAAAAGAACATAGAGTACTATAAACATTTGTATGAAATTTGTATGAAATTGACATTCCAGCTTGTTTTACAAAGTCCCCTGATGAGAAAGTCCGTTCTGGTGCTTAGGCAGTCATTATTAACAAAAAAGAAGGAATTCTGTGTCAGGGCTTGCACATATGGAACAGTTGTACACCGCACAACTCAGGATTGTGGCACTCATGAGTGATGGCTTGAATTTTAGGGCAGCCTCTGTCACAGTCAAGTATCTTGAGAAAGGGCCACCTATTTCTGTATTTATAAAGATTTTGGAGGGCCTAGCAGTGGTATTGTGGCCTGAGTTCAACCTATTTAGAAAGGAATATTTAAGTCATCAAAGTAAGAACTTAACTGCTTTATATATCTCACTGTGTATGAAATGGTCTCGTAATTTGGTGCTGACTTTTTTGGAAACTTCAGTAAAATGATGTAGAGTCCACCAGCCAAAAGAAGGTGAAAATGGACCACTGAAATGAAAATAAATTGTACAGAGTCTTTGAGCATATTTTATATGTAAAGGAATCTGATTTGTTTTACATTATATATGTATTATTTCTAGTCCATTTGTCTCTTTTTCCAGTGAAAACTTTAAAGAAGTAAGTAGGAAAGGCTGCTAAGTGTTAAGTAGCTAGCAGAAGTAGTAAGTGATAGCTAATAACCAGGTGCCCAGTTGTAGTAGTAGAAATAGAAGTTTGAAATTTAGAGAAAATAGACACAGGATCTCCAATAGATTCAAAACCCACTATTAGTTTTCAAGTTGGTAAAGAGGTACTCCTATTATAGAAACACCTGAGGGCTGTACTGTTTTGCCACAAAATGCACCAGTGGCAATTGTAATAATGGGCCATGGTTATTAGAAAACCTTAAATAGAAATATACTGACTCTTTAATAAAAAGATTTTACTATATTTTAGAAAATTTTTTATAAACAAGTAAAATTTCAAACTGTTGGGACTTAAGGAGATTTGAAAGCCTGGAATATTATTTCCTTATTAAATGGTGTTCCTTAGATAACTCTTTTACCAACCTTCCACACCTGTGTGGACCACCTCTTTTTCTCTTTTAAATGAGTTTCTGTAGTTCAGTACATTTAGGGGTTGGGCAAGAAAAAATATAAAGATATTTGCTACAGATTTTCCTTTGTGATTCCTGACATATAGTTAACACTCAAATATTTGTTGTCTATAAAGGTACTTATTTTTTGCTAAAATATTAGCTTATCTGACTTAATTTATTTCCCCACCATCAGCTATGGTTATCCCATGTCCCTTTGCCCCTCTACCTTCCTCCTTAACCACAGAATCCTCACAGTGTTTATTATTGCCCGCTAGTTTTTGTGTTTTATTTTGTCCAGTCATCTATTGTGTAAGTATTCAGTATTTGTCTTTTTTAAGGGGATTTTAAAAAAAGATTTATTTATGCATACAAGAACTAGGGAACAGGCCAGACGTGTGGGGTGAGCGGTGGAGAGGATTCATCAGAGACAGAGTGGGGAGCAGAATAGGCAGATCTACTGAATTATGCTGCTGAGGGGAGCAGCAGGCGAGACAGGAGAGGTCTGTGGTGCCATGTGGGTCACCACCCTGGCAGGGGATCGAATGCCTGCTGCAGTGATTGCGGATAGCTGTCCTTAAACCCCCGCACCACCAGGGAGGCCCTGTCACTGTCTTTCTGACTTGCTTTAATCAACAGATGTTCCCCAAGCTCCCACTATGTTGTAAATAGCTAGATTTCCTCTTTCCTTACAACTGAATAGTATTCCTTAGTATAGCTATGACACCTCTACCAAGCCCTGACTGTTATAGTGTTGCACTGACCTAAAATTTTAGCATCTGTGAAATTTGCAGTTGAAAAACATCTTTTAATCTGTAAAAATATTTTTTATTCTTGTTGAATTACAGGTTGAAGACTTTAAGTGACAAGTCAAGAGAGGCTAGAGTAAAAAGTAAACCTAGGTAAGCTTATGCTGTTTTCATTTATAAATTTTATGCTACTTTTAGTTGTCATAACAATAATATTACTTTATTATTTTTTTCAAGATTCATTTATTTTTGCATACAAGAACTGGGTACAGGCCAGAGGCGAGGGGTTGGGGGTAGGGGTGAGAGGATTCACCAGAGACAGTGGGGAACAGAGGAGGCGAATTGACAGAAATACCCCGTGGAGGGGAGCAGCAGGTGGGACAAGTCTGTCTCACCATGTGGGGGGTTCCTTCCTCTCAAGCCGCAGTGGCTGCAGACAGCTCCATAATGCTGCGCCTCAACCCGACCCCTTGCATCACCAGGAAGGGCCCAGTAATAATATTACTTTCATAGGCTGAATGAAACTGACTATAAAGTGATACTGATTTTAAATTTTGTGATTGGAAAAATTTTTGTTAGAATTATAACATGCTTGAAAAATGGTGGAGAATGATTGTTTTACTGCTTGACAATCAGTTGTATTTTTTAGTACAACTAATTATTTTTATTTTATGGTAAGAACAAATACAAATTCTGCATGACTGAGAAGCGAATTAATAATGAAATAGTAGTTGGCAAATGAATCTCTTTAGTTGTGTTGCCTGTTTTCTATGTGAAGATATCCGTGGTAGTTGTGTAATGCTTTTCATTTTTTTTTTAATACAGTATATCACCAAATTTCACTTTCAATGTAGAGATGACGAACTTAAAAAAAAACAATTAACATCTAGCATTAGCTGTAGGGCAAAGTGGTAGTTTATAAGAACACATTCTAATATGTTAACTTTGAAATACAACAAGACATTTTGCTAAAGGTAGCAAAAGTAATTTAGGTTAATTTGTTATTATACTACATTTGATCTTACTTAAAATACTGAGGAGTAATATAAATTGTTATTGTTAGTGATTTTAAATTATTGCACATTACAACTAACAATTCTTGAATTCAGAATTCCTGTGTGTGATTTTCTTAAGTTGTCCTAAATCAAAAATAATTCTAATAAAATATATGCTTCTTTTGGCAGCACTGTTCCATATTTGCCAAAGTACTCTGCTGGATTAGAATTACTTAGTAGGTAAGTGTTTTCATTAAGAAGTTTATTCTTCTAATTCTTTTATTGTCTAAAATATTTGAAAAGTGAATACATAGAATCCTTAAAATTAAATTTTCCCTTAACATAGTGATAGGAAATTATTTACTTTCCCTGAGGGGCTGCTTTACTTTTCACTGATTAATACTAGGGACATTCAGACTTTGAGCAGATTAATCACTTTCTTATTTATTGTTTCATACTTCATTATGTGCATTTACAAGGTTTATGATTTCTTTGTTATAAAGAGATTGATTCTGAATTGGTGACCTCAACAAATGTCTTATTTTGATTGTTAACTTTATACCATTTCTTCTCCACTCTGTTTCTATTTGTATGCATATTTAATTCATATTTTCTTAGGTATGACATGAGAAGGGTAAGTAACAAAAAAGAAATTGATCTTAAAACATCTGTCTTTCAAAGATGACCACAAAGAAAGTCAAATAACAATCCACAGAATGGGAGAAAATATTTGAAAATCATGTATTTGATAAGGGACTTATATCTAGAGTGTGTGAAGGATTTTTATACCACAACAACAAAAAACCCAGTGAAGTAAACAAAGAATTTAAGGGGACATTTCTCTAAAGCTCTCTAAATGCCAATAAACACTTTAAAAGATGCTCAATATTATTACTCATCAAGGAAATGCAAATCAAGACCACCTTGAGATTTCATTTCATACCCACTAGTACGGCTATAAGCAAAAAGACAGTCACTAACAAGTGTTGGTAAGAGACAGAGAAATTAGAAGCCATGTGCTGTTTGAAAAGTGAAATGGGACAGTGAAAACCACTTTAGTTTCTAAAAGGTTAAACAGAATTTCCATGTGACCCAGCAGTTTCACACCAAGAGAATTGAAAGTTTACATTCACATAAAGACTTACACACAAAAATCATGGCAGCATTATTCGTAAAGCAGTATTATTCTTAACAGTCAAAAAGTAGAACAACACAAATAGTTATAAACTATAAATGGATAAACAAGCATGGTTAATCCATATAGTAAAATATTATTCAGCTATAAAAAAGGATGAGGTACTGATACATGCTACAACATAGATGAAATTTAAAAACATTAAGTGACACATAGTATATATTTTCACTTGTTTGAAATGTCTAGAATTGGACAGAATCTGTAGATTAGCCATTATCAAGGTTTGGAGGAGAGAGATGAGCAGTGACTGCTAATGAGTGTGCAGTTTCTTTTGGGTTGATGAAAAGATTTTGTAATTATGTGCTGATGACAGTTGACCAACTGGGTATACACTAAAAACTGCTGAATTATGTACTTAAAAAGAGTAAATTTTATGGTATGAAGCTTATACATCAGTAAAGCTGCTTTGCAAGTTTGTAGTCAAATGGAGTTTTGTACTTAGTAATGGGCTACTGACAGTTAGTAAGGATGTGCAGTAGAAGATGCACTTGTCTTCCTTCCTTGCACTTACTACTCACTGCACAGTCATCTACACCTACATTTTTGTCTTCTTTTCTAGCTTTTCATTGAGTGTTAGGTTGCTCAGTATGACATATTAACAGTATTGTCTTCCAGGCCATGATTGTGGGGCATCTTTCCATTTCTTTCAGCAATGTTTTGCAGTTTTCATTTCACCTCCTTCATGAATTCCTAAATATCTTTTTTGATATTGTTTGGAATTGTTTTCTTAATTTCTTTTTTGGATTGTTAATGTACATTGTTAATAGATTGAAGTGAAACAAATGTTGTTGGTTTTGTATTTCACTATTTTGCTGAATTTATTAATCTAATTTTTGTGTGTCTGTGAAATCTCTAGGGTTTTCTGCACATAAGATCATATCTGTAAACAGCTATTTTTACTACTTCCTTCCAATTTGGGTGCCTTTTATTTCTTTCTCTTTTCTGATTGCTGTAACTAGATATTCAGTACTGTGTTAATAGAAGTCAAAAAAAGAAGGTGTCATTTTCTTGTTTCTGATCTTAGAGGAAAAGCTTTCAGTCTTTGACCTTTGAGTATGATTTTAGCTGTTCATTTTCCATGTATGGCACTTACTATTGAGGTAATTTCTTTCTGTTCTTACTTTGTTGCATTCTTGTCATGAGAGGGTGTTGACGTTGTCAAGTGCTATTTCAACACCAATTGAGATTATTGTATTTTCCTCACTCTCTTTATTATGTTAATCTGATGTACTATATTGATTTTCATATATTGAACCATTCTTTTCTCTTGAGTTCAACTTTTTATTAAATATATTATGAAAGAGGCTTAGTCAAAATGACCAAAGCCAGTGTCATTACTCCTCAGATTCTTCTTCTTTTACTTTCTCTTTGTTCACTTTAGCAGGGGCAGCTGCGGGATGGGTGCAGGGAGGGGATAGAACTGCCAGGTCTTATTATGTTGTAGATGAGAGGATGGGCAGGTTCATAGTTTTCTGTATTTCTGTAGAATTATAATAGAGCCCTCCCATTTTTTTTTTCCTAATTTTGTCTTCAATTTTTTTTTTATAATCTGTTTTAAGATTTAATTTGGTAGCTTTTTTTTTTAAAGAGCCAGTTTTCAATTTCATTGATTTTCTGTTTTTTAACTCTCTGTATTCTGTTTCTCTTTGCTTTTTTCTTTGTTTCCTGCCTTTTTGATTTGTTTCTACTTTTTCCTAAGTTGTGAAGCTAGATTGTTCATTTGAGATCTTTCATTTTTAAATTACCTTCATTGTCATCTTTTACTCTTTCCCATAGGTGGGGTTGTATTTGCTTTCATCTTTTATTATATTCTGGTTTCCTTTTTGATTTCTTTGACTCTTTGGTAATACTTAAAAGTATGTTTAATTTCCACAATTTTTTAAAAAATTTTCCTTGTTACTGATTTCTAACTATTGATTTGTGGTCAGAGAAAATACTTTGTTTGCTTCACATACATGGAGAGGGAGAAGGAGAGGAGTTTTACATATATGGAGAGAGAGGAAGAGGAGAGAAAAGAGAGGGATTATATTTTTGAATTCTTAGACTCTCAGCAAAATTGAGTTGATGGTTCAGAGATTTACCTCCTGTAGACTTAACTGTGACCTAACACATGGTCTGTCCTGGAGAGTGTCCCACAAGCACTTCAGACTAATGTGTATTCTGTTGTTAGTAGACAGTATTCTGTGTATGTTTTTGTACATTACTGTTTTATTGTGTTAAGTCTTTCCTTACTTGTCTTCTCTATGGTCTTTTTATCCATTATTGAGAGTAGAGTATTGAAGTTTATCACTATATTTCGAGAACTGTTTATTTCTCCTTTCAATTTCTTCAATTACTTCATATATTTGAATATTACTTACTGTAGTACAATGTTGAAAAACAGGAAATTGAGAGTGATAACCTATAGACCTTATTCAGATTTCATCAGTTACCCCACTAATGTCCTTTTCTCTGGGCCAGGATCCAATCCAATCAACTTGTTCAACTCTTAATCTAGAAGTCTTTTTGTTTCCATGTCCTTGAGACTTTTGAACAGTACTGGCCAGTTGTTTATGTAGTGTCCCCCAATTTGTGTTAATCATCTAGTTTCTAATGATTGAACTCAAGTAGCTCCTTTTTGGCAAAAATGCCAGGTCAGTAGTGTTGTGCTCTGTCCATGCGGTTGAAATGTTTATTCCCATTGATGTTCTTGTAGTGAGCCCCTGGATCAGGAGGTATCTGCCAGGTTTTTCCACTGTTAATACTATTTCCCTCTTTTTATTTAATGAGTATCATATTTGAGTTATATATTGGATATATATATATTATATGTATATATCCTTTTCATAGTCCTACCCACTAATTTTAGCATCCATTAGAATATGTACCTTAAATAATAATTATTGTGTTTACCAAGCAGCGATTTTGTTTCAAAATCATTTTTTAAAGCCATTAATTGGAATTGTACTGTAAGAGTTTTTCCCATTTCCCTCACTTTTTCAATTATTTATTTAAATCCCTGTGAACTCATATATTCTATTCTTTGAATTATAGTCTATTACTACCATTATTCTGCTTAAATTGACATATATTCATTAACTGGAAGACACTTCAAATTGAATTCTGTCTTCTTAAAATTTGTTTGAACTTTTATTTTTTTGAACTTTTCCATTCAGGCAGTATACAATGTTCCAGTTTCATCTTTAGATAGCATTTTTTTAAAAATGTGTTTTGCATTTAGAATTATTTTTGTTTTTCTTAGATATGAAGATACATGGGCTGCACTTCACAGAAGATCTAAGGAATGTGCAAGTGCTGGAGAGGTAGTAATCTTATACTGAAGAAAAAAATACCCATTTGTAATCTCTAATGCTAGTTTTTAAGAAATTAAATGTATAATTTCATTACAATATTTTGCAGTATATCTGAAATTGAATTTGGTAGCTGATTATGAAGTACTTTAAATCATGTTTTCATAATTTCTCACTCAAGTAGGTTTAGTTAGAATTAGAGTGTTACAACTTTATATTCAAGTCACAAATAAATATTTGACTCGTATAGGTGTAATGCTTGGAGTTAAAAAGGACATGCAACGAATTCAAAATGAAAAGCTTTAGAAAATTTATGGGGACTGGACACCTGTGGAGAACTAAATGTGAGACTCCCACATAAAATTCTTGCATCTTGAAAGTGGTTTCATGCTTCAGTGATAGTTTAAGCAGGGCAAAGGGAAAACAAGGGAAGGAAAGCAACCTGTTAGCAAAAGAAGGTAGAACAACTGGGAATAAATAGTAACTCCTTTCTGTCCTCACATGATGTGGGACTCTGTTTATACTTCTACATGGTCAGAGACCCAGTAAAGTAAGAAATGAGAGGGGCACAAGTAGTTGTGCTTTTTGATTCCCAACATGAATGAACATAAATTCTGCTTGGATGTAAAGTAGGGTCTTGGATACTCCCCAGCACCCTTCCAAAAAAGTGTGAATACACAAAAAATACATTATCAAAAGTTTGAGTTACCAAAACAAATAGGACGATTTAGCTCTGCAAAGGAATTTAGGTATTGTGTTATTGGATACAGACTATTAAAGAAGTATATATAAAGTCATTGAAATAGATAACAAGATTAGGGCCTCCCTGGTGACAAAAGGGGTTATGACTAAGCACTATGAGGCTATCAGTGGCTGTTGTAATACGGGTTTGGTTCCTGGTTTAGGAGCTGACACACACGGCACAGCAGAACTCTCCTGTCTTGCCCTTAGCAGTGTGTTTCAGCCAATCCACATGTTCTGCTCCCTATTCGGTTCTTCTCATCCACCCCCAACATCTCTAGCCTACACCAGAGTTCTTATATGCATAAATAAATCTCTAGAAAGGAAAGAAGAAATGACAGATGAAAAATGAGTAAGGAATAAGACTCTGTAAATATAACTTTAAGAAGTTATTGAAATCAATAACCCAAAAGATGTGCTTAACAAGTTATATACAACTGAAGAAAGGAAATAGTGAAGTGGTAAATAAGTCCAATTACTCAGAAAGGATATCTAAGAAAATCGAAAATACAAAAGAGGAAGTAAGAGAATAGAATTTTTAGGTCAAATCATGAAGGGTTATTAATATTAGACCAATTTTGTTCTGTAAAATTATAGTTTCGTATGAATCAGCTTAATATATCCAGTAGACACTCTAGAAAGAGGGCATGAGGGAAGGACAATATAGGAAAAGATAAGTGACTGAGAATTTTCAAGAAACAAGATCATATCAATTCTTAGATCCAAAAACACAATAAACAAAAAAGATAAACAATGACACCTAAACACCTTATATTGAAACTACAGAACACTGGAAGATCTCAAGGCAACCAAAAGAAAGATACATTATAAATGAATTCATTTCAAAGCAGAGATCTCAGGCTGTTGTCAATAATGAGGGCGAGATAAGATATTTATATAAAAGTCAAGCTTTCTGTTACCAGTGGTCAGTAAAGGACTTTTAAAGAAATTTATTTCATGGTTAAAGGAAAATGATTTGGAAAGAGAGAGTTGAGATATAGGGAAGAAAAATGACCAAAGGAAAGGCCAAATACATCTAACAGCAAATACATGGATCAATTACTGAATTTGTGGAATTAAAAATAATAGAACAAGGTCCTCCTTGGTGGCACAGCAGGTTGGAGCCCTGCACTGTGAATCTTAGCCAAGCTGTGGTTGCTTTGGTGCAAATTCCATCCCTGCCCTGGAGATAATCCACATGGCCAGCAGACCTATCCTATCTTGCCTGCTGCTCCCCTCAGAGTGTACTTTTGTGGATTTTCCTGTTCTGTTCCCCAATCTGTTTCTGGTGGATCCTTTTACTGCCTTTGCACCTCTGGCTCTACTCCATTTCTGTATACATAAATAAAATCTTTTAAAAAAGAGGTGCAGATTCAAGCACCCTGTCCATTAAAAAAAAAAAAAAATGTAGAACAAAAATGGTGGGTTGCAGTAGCAACACAGGAATATCCAAGTTTCCTGGTAAGTTGGAAACTAGGTTATCAGAGTTCAAGTATTCTAATGCCTTCTACTATTATGGAGAAGTTACAGCTGTTAATATCAGGTTTAAATTTCACTATGGAGGGCAGAATTTCAGGAGTGATCATTAAAGAACAGAAATAGTGTCTCTTTCAAACTATTATAGTAGAAGGAACTAGAATCATGAGAAGTAATTCATCAGTCCAAAAGAAAACAAGAACCCAGGAGGAAAATAACAGAATTAACAGAAAAAAAAATAGTAAAAATAAATCTAAATATCAGCAATCATGATCATTGCTAATAGACTAATCTTGTCTAGTCAAAAGACATATATTTAAAGACATGGGGGAAAAAAATCTAGCTATAAACTACTCCTAAGAGGCACATCTGGTATATTAAGGACACAAAGATTGAGTATACTAGGTCAAAAAAGATTCAAGTGTCATACAGAGGAAGCTGATTATTAGAATCAATCAAGTTAACTTAAAAAGAAAGGACTGAAAGCAGTATTTGAAGAAGAGGACCACTCTAGAATATTAAGATTCTAATCTGAACTTGTATGTTTCTAATATAAGCCTCAGAATATATAAAGGATAAATAGAATTGCAAGGAAAAAGTAGGTAAATTCATAATCCAAGTGGGAGAATTTTAATACATTATTCTTAATTGATAGGAGAATTTTAATACATTATTCTTAATTGATAGGAGAAAAAGCATAAGTGTGCATATAAAAGATTTTGTTACTGTGATGAACGATCCTGACCAGATGGACAAATAGAGTTCTGCTCCAGCAAATAGAGAACATAAGTTCTTTAAAGCATATCTGGAACCAGCGAAAATCAGCCCTGCTTTGTGGTGCAGGGGTTAAATTCTCAGCGCTATCAAGCTATTGGTAGCCACTGCAGCACAAGTTAAATGCCCTATCCCAGGCCAGGGAGATGACTATGGCAAGGCAGACCTCTCTTGTGTTACCTGCTACTTCCCTCAGCAGTTATTTCAGTCTGCCTGTTCTGCTCCCCATTCTGTCTGTGGTGAATCCTCTCACCTCCCCTCCCCCATACCTTTGGCCTATACCCCAGTTCTTGTATGTGTAAATAAATAAATCTTTAAATAGATCAGAAAAAAGTTCTCAATATATTTCATATAAATGAAGTCATACAGAATATTCTCTGATCCTATTGCAAATGAAACTGAAAGTTAACAAAGAAAGACAATTTTGGAAATTCTATATGTTTAGAAGTTAGGAATAAGAAAGAAGGAAAAAATATTGAAAATTTAAAGTAGAACTGAATAATGATAATACACGTAAACTGTAGAATTAGCTAAAATCTGTTTAGAGTATTTACAAAGGGAAAAGAATAAGTCAATGAGCTAATCTGATTTTAGAATAAAACAAAAGTTCTAAGGAAGAATGAAAAAGATAATAAAGGAAAAGGGAAAATACAAAATATACTGTCTTAGCTAAACAAAGCCATTAAGTTCTTAGAAAATACTAGTAAAATATGGTAGATAAATCTGTTGTTATTGGTCAAGAAGAAAGCTTCATTACTTTAAGAATTAAAAAGAATGTAACTACAGTTATAGTAGAGAAAAAGTAGATAAGAATTTAAGAAATGACAAATTTGAAAATTGAGACAAATGGCAAAATCCTGGAAACTTACAAAAAAAAATTCTAAAAGCAATACAAATCATTAATAATGTTATAGCCACTAAATACATTGATTAACTGATTCAAAAATCTTTAAGAAAGCAACAGGTCTGCAGTTTTATAGAAAGAAAGGTTCTGTCAAAATGTCAGAGAATTTCTCATCTCAATGTTAGACAAACTCTGATAGCAAAGGAATGAAAATGAGCTCATCTCATTTATTGAACTAGAAAAAAAATTGATATTAAAACCCAGCAAGTACAAGAAGGTGAAATCAGAGTCCAATTCTGTTCACGAATATAGATAAAAAATTATAAAGTATTCATTTTTTTTAAGATTTATTTATTTGTGCATAAAAGAACTGGGGTATAGGCTGGGACTGCAGGGAGTAGTGAGAGGATTCTACCAGCAACAGAAGAGGGAGCAGAACAGACATATTGAAACACACTGCTGAGGGAAATAGTAGGCAGGTCAAGAGAGGTCTGACAAGCCATAGGGGTCCCCTCTCTGGCTGGGGATCAAACTTACACTGCAGTGACTGCCGATCACCACATAGTGTTGTGGTTTTTTGTTTTTGTTTTTTTTGTCTGTGGCAACTACCTTCTTCCTCTCCTTCCCCTTCTGAGAATCTTAGTGCATCATAAAGGCAATATTTGAAAACTTAGCATGCACTACAAGCAAAACCACCACTAGATAAACACTAGTATATTGTCTTTTCCTGAGCTTTTATAGTGTTGTACTTTAACCAGGTGTGCCACCAGGGAGGGCCCTATTCGTTTTGCAATAACTAAAAATAAAGGTTCTCTTACTTTAATAGTCTACTTCTGAAAATCAGATGTTCTGTGCAAACACTCTAACCAGGAATCTGATTTGTTTATTCTAAATTGGAGAAGTTATAATGTATTACATATTAACCAAAAACTCTTAACTGATAACATTAAATATGTTTTAAACCAGCAAAACACCTATAAAGAGGTAGCAGTCAATTAGGATTAAAGTTCTGATCACTAAACTTTTTTTTCCTTTGAGGTAACATTGGCTTACAACACTGTGTGTGATCAGTCATAGGATCATACCACTCAGATGTATATCACCATGCCATATATTCTTAATATTCAAATCAGTACCTTAGAAAATACAGTTATGGTCATCCGTAACTGTATTTAAGGTTTTTTAAGGTTTTTGTGTTTTTTTTTTTTTTTACAAGCTCTTTGATTTTTTTCCCCTCTCATCAATATATTAATGAATAGTTAATAATGGTTTAGGGGATAGACTCTGAAAGTAGATTTTAAAGTTAGATTTGCAGTGCGTTATTTGCTTTGAGTTCCCATTGTTAGGAAATATTTGCTTACCTTTAGAGTGAACTCTTAGATTCATTATTTTGTTGAACAGGTTGATGTATAAGCTGGTTGCATCACACATGTCTCATTTTCCCTATGTTCCAGCATAAATGTCCTCTGTCTCTGCAAACAGTGAACAGAACTGGGTGTTGGAAACCTTAGGTTCTGAACCGGCTCTCTGTTTTTTTGGTTTCATTGTCTATAAAATGGTATAAAACCTTTTTACCTTGCTTACCAAAGTTGCTTGAAAATCACATAAAAGAATGTACTCCACCAAACTCTGAACACTGAGTTTGCTAAAGTTCCATTTAGTCATTCTGTATGCTGTTTGTATTCTTTGCTTTTTCTTAATTCTCCTAATTTTAGTGTACACTAAAGTATAATGTAGAATGAAGAACTTAAGTTTATCTTGCTACTTAAGCTTAATAACTCAATGTTAGATCTGGATTTATAAAGCATTGTTTACTTGGGGGTGGAACAAATTGCCTTCTGGAGACAATTTTTTTTTTTTTATCATTAATAAGCCTCATTACATGAACCTGTGAGTTTGCTGACAGAATTAAGCACCAACAGGGAAGGGTTATTTTTTGATTTGTTACTAATTGTATCTTCAGTGCCTAGAACAGTGTCTGGCAGACAGTAGGTAGTCATTAGAAATTTGTTGACTTTTTTTTTTTAAGGATTTATTTATTTATGCAT